TTATTTAGTAGTAAATAAGCTAGCACTGCGTATTTATCTCCAATCCCAGTGTTGTTGTTTTAGGTTCTTCATCGGCTCTTTTCACTCCCTCTACCTCCAACTTTTTTCACATATTTGGAACACGAGATAGATCCATTGTACCATATTGTGTGGTCGACACTCGGACACGACAACTTTGTTCACGTAATTGGCAGCTTTCCTATCTTTCTCTCTCTCTTTTAGACGATAGTTTTAGAAAGGATGTGTTTCCATTTTTGTGAAATAATGTCCTCCTTAACATTAAAAGAAACTCTTTTAACATAGATAGTGTATTCATGACAAAGTATACTACTATGCTATCGAACTTTTTCACCAACTTTGATGAACTAAATGAGCAAATCCGAACATATACTAACATATCATCTTATTCATAAATTTAGCCGATGTAATTATCCTAGCACAAAAAAATTAACATATCATTTATGAACAAATTGAGTTTGGCCTAATATCCCTTTTCTTAAGTATAAAAATTCTATAATTCAAACGGCAAGAAAAAAAATCCTAGCCGTTAGAGAGATTTTTTTTTTGTTGATTTCAGCTTTTGTTCTTAGGATTGGCGGCAATCTTTCTCGATCCTTCTTTTTTCTTTCATGTTTTTAGTAAGGTGGCTATCTCGTTTTGTCGAGGAGAGCGTTTGTGGTTATGATTGTGGTCACTCTCTCTTTTAGAGAGGAGAGCTTTTGTAGCGGTTTTGACTTACTGCTTAACCCCGGATTTTAGAGAGACAACTTTTGTTCAAATCAAAGGTGGTGATTTCGTGATTTATGCGCTTGGTAATGAATATGCGGAGGAAGCTCAATGTTTGTTGGAGGTGACTCATAGCAGGAGAGTGAACTTTGTTGTTGTTGTTGTTGTTGTGGTTTCGTTGTCTGTTTACTTGACAAATGGCTATGAGGACATCTTCGTTATGTCTCATAATAGGGCTTCTTTGCCGAATGAGCTGTCTTTTGCAAGTTTATCAATGCAAGCTTTTGTCCTCGTAAGTGTATCTTTCCGTTTGGTTCAATGTGCTTATGTGAGGTTATGTTTTGTATTATATTTCTGGTGCATTTGTAATCATGAAATTATACTCTTGATAAAAAAAATATTAAAATTGCACCAAAAATAAACACAAATCTCAATACAGTTGTAGGAGAAAAACTTGTGTGGGGCTTGGTTTGCCACTGAATTTTGCTGAGTGACACTAATCCACTCAAAACTCACCAAGTGGCAAGTCTTAAATATAATCTTTATCATTTTTTATATTTAAGACTCATAATTATTTTTCCCACTAATTAATATACACCATGAGATCAATCTAACGGTTAACTTTTACCTGTTTTCCCCTTTTTTTTTCTGCCCTAATATTCCCTGGTGTGTGTTTTGCTGAACTCTTCACTTTCTCTGATCTCCCACTTCTTCCTCTCTCCCAGTTTTTCCTCCGGCTTTTCTTAAAAAGAAATTCTGAACCCTAAAAAAAATCACTTTCTCCAACTTTTATCATAGGAAGCAATTAAGAATCTGTAAGTTTATTTATTTACTTATACAATAGTTGATTTGATCATGTGAACTTAACATAAGTAACCCATATATATATATACAGGCATATTAGGGTTAATTTTTTATTTGTTTTAGTTAATATGTTAGTCTAATATTAGGGTTCATATGTTACCCATTAGTCCCAATTCCCCCTCTCTTGGTTGGTTCAAGAGCTCTGCACGTTAAGGAAAGCATGGCCTGCGCAGTTTAAAGCAGTAGCATCTGATAGCGTGATACGTAGAAATCCTCATTTAGCAACTGAACAAAGTGTGAATATCCCTACACTTTAAGCCGCCTTACTTCAGCTAGTGAATAAAGATGGGGAAATGAACAAAAAAAAAGGGCAGAGAGAAAGAAGTGAAGAGTCCAGCAAAACACAAACGGATGGAATATTTGGGAAGAAAAAAGGGGAAAATAATAAAAAGTTAACCATTTAATTGATTGTATATTAATTAGTAAGAAAAATAATGATGAGAATCTTAAATATAAAATAATGATAAAAGATTTAGATGAGTTTTGAGTGAATCGTAGTGTCACTCAGTAAGGTCATCTCCAATCCAAGACTGGCCAGAGGGATCGTTTTAGCCTTCTGGCCCTTTAAGAAATTAATATTTTAATGAACTGTGCATGACTATATTTCTTACCATCTCCAATCGAGGGTCAAAGGGCTATAAGGCTCGTTTTAGCCTTGTCACAAAAAATCATCTCCAACCGAGGACCAAAAGGTCATATGGCAAAATATAAACATTAATCCTTGCAAAAGATTAAAATTTAAAAAAAAACCTGGTGCTAGATTAAATATTCAATTTAATCCTTTGAGTGTACTTTTATCAAAATTTACATTTTTTTTTTATTTAATGTGTATTTTTATTTAATCTCTCCATATTAAATTTTAATTTTATTAATATGCACATATTTAGTTTTTTTTTAATTAGAAATGAATGTAAATGAGAAAATATTAAAAAAAATTTGTGATACAAAAATATTTAAATACATAAGTGTTCAGAAATGATTGTGCCAAATATATAAAATTGACTTTTTTGTACCGAAATATTTGTACCTACATGATTGTACCGAAATATATTATAATGAACCTAAATGTATGTACCGAAATGTATTATATTGAATTAATGTACTTAAATGTCAATACCGAAATGTATGTACCTAAATGTCAATACCGAAAATGTATGTACCTAAATGTCAATACCGAAAATGTATGTACCTAAATGTATTTACCGAAATATAATAATTGAATTAATGTTCCTAAAAGTCGATATTCAAATGTGTGTACCAAAGTGTACGTAACGAAATGCATTATATTGACCGAAATGCATTATATTGAATCAATGTAACTACATGTTTGTACCATGGATATACCAAAATATTCAAATGTATTAATGTACCTAAATAAAGAACATACAAAATTGTTATCGGAATATATATTATAAAAAAATTAGTTGCCTAAATGTAGACATTAAAATATATTATGATGAATGAAATAAAAATTAAATTTAAATGTAATTAATACATTAAAATAAAAATAAAAGGATAAAACAAAACATCAAAATACAACTAATAAATGATATGATTAAATGTGCTAGGGACTAAAATTGGATTTTAATCTTACATATGGTTATAATCTAAAACTCATCTTTTTTAAGGATTAAAATGAAGTTTTCTATATAATTTATTATTTAAATTTAAAAACTACAACAACTTAAATTAAATGTAATATAATTAAATATTTAAAATAAATTGTGAAAACACTTACTTCGTTGTAGTAATTGGCGCCGCTTTCATGTCTACTTACCGTGATTAACAGTTGTATATTAAATTAATTTTTTAATTTAAGTGTCCAATCACTAGTACAACTTAGTTTGAGATTTGTCCCAAACTTACATTTATAAATGCACGTTTACCATCTCTAATAGGAAGCTTAGATTTGTCCCACATTAGGCGAGAATTGAGCAAGCAAAAGCTTGCATGTGTGGCACCCATTATATTTGTCCCACATCAGTTGTGGGAGAGGTTTGAGCAATCAAATATGCTTATAAAAGCAACATCTCCATATAGAACCAATCACCTTTCTGGGCCTTAATTAAATATTCTTTTTAAATTTTTGGCCAAAAAAAAAATTGAAAAAATAAAAAAAAATAAAATAAAAAAATTCAAAAATAACGACTAGTTGACGTCAGCTAGCTATTGAGATTCAAAATTTTTAGCCCGGCCCGGGGTTGCCTGGCTGGCTCATATGGGCCGGTCGGTTGGCCATTTGGCTTTTTTTTTGTCTAGTGGGGTCCACGAGCCCTTTGGCCTGGCCCTTGGTTGGAGATGGTTTTAGGCCTATTTTCGGTCATCTGAACCTTTCGGTTGGAGATGGCCTATAATCCAGTGCCAAGCCAAACTTTACACAAGTTTTTCTCTAGTTGTAGAGTTGTTATAAGTAACAACTCATTAAAAATCCAAAACTTTCCTATATTGACATCGTTTTTTCTTCTTTTGTTGGGCATTTAAAGTGATTTATTATTCCAAACTTCCTATATACAAATGTAAGTAGGTTAGTTTAGTACCATAAACACTTGAGGTTTTTCGTGTTTTCACAAAACTCAAGGGGCTATGTGAAAATAAATTAAAACTTCATGGGTGTTAATGTAATTTCCAGAACGTGAAGGATTTTGTGAAAAATTCAAAAAACCATAAGGGATATTTGTAATATTAACCGGTTACGGTATAGTCATATTTGTAATAGTAACACAAACATTTAAGTTGAGACGACTTGGCTATTGGTACTATAATATCGTTCTTTATTAAAAATCTTAAATTTGAATATCGAAAATAACAAGATTGATCCAAATTATTAGCCAACTCCCTCACTGAAAGTCGGTGTACAGAGTACACAGTTAACTCAAACCCTAGGACGCGTGAGACATCCACAACAAAAAGCAAAGAGAGATTATATTCACACATCCCAAATTATTTTTCCTATACCTTTTTATTTTTTAACATCTACACTCCACTAACACTTGATAGAAAAATATTTATAAATTAAAAAAATATGAGAGAATTAATTTGAGATGTGTGAATATAATCTCCCAAAGCAAAAACGAAACAAAGGGACGAGTGAGACAGCAAAAGTACAGAACACAGACAAAATGTCGAATGTAAATTAAATTGCATAAACAACGAATCAGGCGCTCCGAACTCGTCGGTCCTCAGCCAATTAGGTTTCTCCACGTACTCGCATCCTACAACTTTAGACCGGGCCCCGCGGAACCCTCCGGCGTCTGATATTTAAGTGTGATGCGCTGCTTCTCCCTCCGCAATTCTCTCCCGCTGCATCGGAGGAGAAACCAGACAGGTTGTTGTTCTAAGGGGTAGAGAGAGAAAGGGGTAGAGAGAGAAAGGGGTAGAGAGAGAGAGAGAGAGAGAGAGAGAGAGAAACAGATAAGAGGCTAATAATAAAAACGAAAATTTAAGAGAGATTGAGAGGTAGAAGGGCGAGATTGTCCCTGACCCCTAATCAGAGTCTGTGACCTCCGGCAACCTCCCCTGCCGGAATAACTCTCTCTTCCGGAGCCTGTCGCTTCCGGCATTCCTGTCTTTTATCATATCCTCTTCATCGGTTGTAGGACTCGGGTTCGTGGGCCCCACCATTCCCTCTTGTTTCATGTTCATGTTGTTTTTTTTCTTCCCATGCATGCATTTGCTTAATTTCGCATGATCAACTCATCATTTGCATTCCAATCCCATGTTGTTTTTGTTGTTGATTTTGATGTTTGTGTTTGTATTATGAAAAGAGAGAAGATTTTTTTTTACCGCATACCAATCTACAATCTACAGTGTATATTTATTAATGCCAAATTAATATTTAGATACCATATGATATTAGTGAATCCAATCGTCATTTATGCCAGCCTTACTCTTTATACAACACTTTTGAAGCTTATTTGGAAGTTCAGTTTTATTGTTTACTTTGACATCATCATTTGTCCTGGCCTTCCTCTTTATACAATGCTTTGGAAGGTGTTTTGAAAATTCTCTTTTTTGTTTTCTTTCACATTTGTGTCTCTCTCACACACTCTATAACAATTTGACTGGCCATTACTCATTGCTTGCCAATCAAACAAAACTTGCAGCAGAAATGGCGAACATCAGAAGTCCATTCAAGGGAATAATCCAAGATGTCAAAGGAAGAGCAGCATGCTACAAGGAAGATTGGATTGAAGGACTTTGTTCCGGTGTCAGGTAAAAATTCTGTAATTTTCATAAGTTTATTGCCCCGTCTGGTAACCATTTTAGTTTTAGTTTTTAGTTCGAGTTTTTTATTTTCCATTTCGTTTGGTTCAGTCTTCTCCATGCATTGCAGGATATTGGCTCCAACTTTCTACATTTTTTTTGCCTCCGCACTTCCGGTCATTGCCTTTGGGGAGCAATTGAGTAGGGATACAGGTATAACATTTGCTGATAAGAACTCAATAATATAGCATTATGTGTTTATAATTTTTTGTTTTCTAGCTAGTTGAGGTTTTTAATGGAGGGAGCCTGAAATTTATGTTTGTGTGATTGTAGATGGAACCCTAAGCACAGTGGAGACATTGGCTTCTACTGCTTTATGCGGTATCATCCAATCACTATTCGGCGGGCAGCCTTTGCTGGTCTTAGGAGTTGCAGAACCAACCGTCATAATGTATAACTATCTGTACACCTTCAGTAAAGGACGGCCGGAGTTGGGGACCAAGCTCTTTCTAGCTTGGACTGGTTGGTACGTGAACAGCTGTCCTTATCTATTTTTCCAAGATTTTCGATGTGCCTTTTCGCTATGTGTCCGGAAATAGATTTTTGATCTCTTGTTTGCTTACTCTTATGTCACAGGGTTTGTGTCTGGACAGCATTATTGCTGATTCTTCTGGCCATTTTCAATGCATGTACCATCGTTACTAGATTTACTAGGATTGCCGGGGAACTTTTCGGGATGTTGATCTCCGTTCTTTTTATCCAAGAGGCCATCAAGGTTTGTGGCGTTGAGTTTCTTGGAAAAACATAACAAGTTTCGGATCTTTTGAGTTGACTTTAACCCCAAGTAAATGCTTATTTGGCAGGGAGTGATTTCTGAGTTCAGTATTCCGAAAGGTGAAGATCCAAAGCTGGAGGAGTTTCAATTCCAATGGCTCTATGCCAACGGGTTGCTAGCAGTGATTTTCTGCTTCGGTCTGACTTTCACTGCCCTTAAGAGCAGAAAAGCGAGGTCATGGTGGTATGGCTCAGGTAATGAAATGGGAGTTTGCGATTCGATCATTTTGTGAAAGATCATTGTACTTAAATGGTTTTGGTTATTCTTATCCTGTCCTTTTTTGGGCGATGGATGCAGGGTGGCTCCGAAGTTTTATTGCAGATTATGGGGTTCCTCTTATGGTCTTGGTGTGGACAGCACTGTCTTATGCTTTACCTGGTAAAGTTCCACATGGAGTTCCCAGGAGGCTTGTTTGTCCGTTTCCCTGGGACTCTAAATCACTCTACCATTGGACAGTCGTCAAGGTATTATTAGATTTAGCGCATGTCTGGTAATCATTTCGTTTTTAGTTTTTGCCTTTGACCTTTAGCTGGAATCAAAGGCTCGATACCGGAATAATAATCCATTTCCCATGTTTAAATTGCAGGATATGCCAAATGTCCCTGTCATGTATATTTTCGCTGCCTTCATACCGGCTGTGATGATAGCAGGTCTATACTTTTTTGATCACAGTGTAGCTTCACAGCTTGCACAACAGAAGGAGTTTAATCTTCAGAAACCATCTGCATACCACTATGACATGTTTCTCTTGGGAGTAACAGTATGTTTTCCAACTTCAAATCTTCTTTTCCTTTTCCTTTTCGTTTGTAATCTATATGTTTATAACTCTGCTGCTACATTTTCAATGCTGCAGACATTGGTTTGTGGGTTGCTTGGACTTCCTCCTTCAAATGGGGTTCTTCCGCAGTCCCCCATGCACACTAAGAGTCTTGCTGTTCTAAGGCGTCAGGTGATCCGAAAGAAGATGGTAAAGAGTGCCAAGGAATGCATGAAACTAAATGCAACCAACTCTGAGATGTTTGGAAGGATGGAAGCTGTGTTCATAGAAATGGACAGGGGATCTCCTCCAAATGTAAGTGCTCAAAGCTTTCCTCCGTCATTTGTTCTATTCCATTGTCAAATCATAGTTTTTCTATCCTTGCAGTCCAAGGAGTTGGAGAACTTAAGGGAGGCTGTGATGAAATCTGATGATGGAGGAGATTTGAAGGGCAAATTTGATCCAGAGAAACACATTGATGCTCATTTGCCTGTTCGGGTTAATGAGCAAAGAGTGAGTAACCTGCTGCAGTCACTCCTTGTGGGAGGCTCAGTATTCGCAATCTTCGTAATAAAAAAGATTCCTACCTCAGTTCTTTGGGGATACTTTGCCTACATGGCGATTGATAGTCTCCCAGGTAATCAGTTCTGGGAGAGGCTCTTGCTACTCTTCATCAGCCCTAAACGACGTTACAAGTAAGTCATTCTAAAAGTTTCAATAAATTGCCATGAATGTTTATGTAGTAGCTTATCAGGATCTCGATTCATCTTCTAATTCTGTCATTTTCTTGGACAGGGTTTTGGAAGCTTCTCATGCTTCGTTCGTGGAGTTAGTACCGTTCAAGTACATAGTTGCATTTACACTCTTCCAACTCGTATACTTCCTGATATGTTTCGGGGTGACATGGATACCTATAGCCGGAATATTGTTCCCACTGCCATTCTTCCTTCTCATCAGCATAAGGGAACATCTGCTACCTAAGTTCTTTCATCCTGCCCATCTTCAAGAACTCGATTCTTGTGAGTGGGAAGAAGTTTCCGGTGCTCCACATGTAAGTCTCTTGTACTTTCTTCCGGCTTGTATGAATGCGTTTAAAGGATTCCAATTCATGGCATTGAAATGTGTGAGCAGGAAAAAGTACCACCCGAACCTGGAAACGATGATGGTACAGATGATTTCTATGATGCTGAGATATTGGATGAGATGACAACAAGCAGAGGAGAGTTGAAGCTCAGAACCAGCTTCAGTAGTGAAGAAAGGTTTTCACATGTAAGAAAAAAAAGCCAATTCATGTCATCCGTCTTTATTTTAATCACTTTTCGATCATTATACACTTTTCCAATCAGTTCAATGATGCATTTCAACGCAAATTTGTGCAGGTGCACCCCGAAGATGTTGCCCGAATTTGACGAAACAGTCTATTACGATCAGAGTATGGATAGATTGACACCTGAGCTTGTCCTTATCATGATCTGATTGATGTCCTCAGCAGAGGATTGTTAAATTACAGAAAAGAGGACTAAGGATTATGCCTAGCTTGGAAAACAAGTAATATATAGAGAAAATCATGTGCGGATTCCGCGATGTTTTTTGGGCAATTAAGGGACAAAGGGTAGGGAAGAGGAGGGGGATATGTAAAAGTTAACTGGAAGAGTTGAGGGGGATTCAGGAGCAGTTGTAACTCTTGTAAAATTTCACCGAGGAATGTAATTTTTTCCCTTTTTCTTTTAGATTTTCACTTTTTCTTGGTTTTCAATTTTTACACAAGCTTGTAGAATCAGATAAGGTGAAATCATTTATGTTATCTTCTTCTTTTTTCTTTATGTTTGGGATTCCCTATTTAAATTTCCTTCAAGTGAACTGAACCTGGTGAATTTTTTTTTCTTTTCAAATGACTGTATACTTAATTATTAATAATTTTTGTTACATAATTATGATAATAAATGGGGGTAAGGCTAGCCGACATTCACCTCTCCCAGACCCTGCGTAAAGCGGGAGCCTTGTGCACTGGGTACGACAATTATGATAATAGTTATAGACATGCCATCTGGGGTATAATTTTCTGGCCTTCTGCATCGTTATTTCTCAGAATCACCAGCAAGAACAAGATGATCACCGTCTCTAACAAGCTCTACATCTTCTACTTCAGCTCCGTCTTCGGTTAAAACTTTGGTGGCTGTAAACTGGAATTTCTTGGCACCAAGGTCAAGTAGTTGTTGAAGGGAGTCAGGCAGAAGCACAAGCTTTGCAGCAGTTTGGCCTTTTTTCGGGCAGCTAAGTGTCACTCTGGCCGGATAGCTGTTCCTACTCGTGCTCCTTGCCAAACTGCCTGTAGATGCGACAATGTCTCTATCTTTCTCACCTGCATGTTTTCAAATTCACCTTGTCAAAACTGTTCATCACCTAGTGTTCGAAAAATTAATGTACGGTGAAAGGCCTCCATTTCTAGTAGGTCGAGTAATGATGCACTCGGGGCTTTTTTACTCATGATTTTCTGGGGATCCCTATGAAACAGTATGTGAGTGCTTTTCGAATAGAAAAATAAGAACAGGAAATTATAGCATCTTACTAAGAATTTACAGAGAAAATTGAAGATATATGCTTACCAGTATTAGTATTGGCAGCTGACATGAAACCAAACAGTGAATTGCGAAAGATTTTATCCATTCTACGAGTATTTTCTGATGTCATATCTGAGTAAGATGGCCTGCCATCCCGTGCGTAGGGAGGTAATGTAGGCTCACTCCTGAACTTCCCAGGGCGTGATGGTATCAGATCCTTTGGCATAGGAACAACAGTTGGTTTCTTGGTTGGTTTATTACTCTCCCATTTGTGCTGAAACAGTTCCATTATTTCTTCATGTCCCTGATGCTCTGCCAAAGCCCTAGGAGTCCATCCATAGCCATCCGGCTTGTCAGCCTCAGCTCCTTGTTCCAAGAGGAACTTAACCATCTCTACATTTCCTTCACATACCGCCGTGTGAAGCGCTGCAGTCCCATTGCTCTTGGGCAGTGTTACATCACCGTTATACGTGACAATGTCTTTAAGCAGCTCCAAGTTGTTTTGCTCAACAGCAGCACAAGCAAAATTTCCCACATTGCCAGAATTTATCTTCGCTCCGTTGTCTAAGAGAAGTTTAATCAAAGACTCATGCTTCCCTGATATTGCTTCCCATATAGGAACATTTCCTTCCGAATCTGCATGCAAAGTAATGAACAATTGGTTCAGCGTAATGTTCTCACACCATATTTCATATAAAAGTTCACCTAAATAGAAGCATAGCACACCAGACTGTCTGACAAGAGAACATGTCCATACCTTGTATATTGGGATCTGCTTCATACTCTAGGAGTAAAAGGGCGCAGTGTTCATTTCCATTAGATGCTGCAATGTGCTGTTGAAACAAAAAGTTAAAAAACACACACAAAGTAAGCACCAAAGTCGCAAATTCAAAGGCTATAGGGGACAAAATGGTGTCTGTTTGCGCATATAAAGATAGGGTATGCGCACCATAGCTGTTCGTCCATTATTGTCCATCTCGTTTGGATCTGAACCCCTCCTGAGCAACCGATGCAGCAACAAATCATCACCTCTCTGTGCAGCAAAGCATAAACTAAGAGGCAGATCCATTTTACCGCTAGCCAGCACATGCTCTATGTCCCTCAAAATTCCTTCTGCCAGCGGATTCTTCATTTCTTTCAAATGCTGCATCAACAACATATATGCACATGCATAAGAAAGACTGCAAAAAACTGTTATCGAAATGCTGATTCCCAAATATTAAAGACTACCAAAAAATGACTAAAGTAACTTACATACCTTAAGAAAATTGTTCATGATTATCGTTCCATCTCCAACATTTGCTTGAACAAGATTTAAGAAAGCTGTACGGTTCAAACGCAGAAGCTGGGAGAGTCCTTTCGTCCTAACTGTGACCATTTGAGGCCTGTAACAAAGCACACCTATTTCACCAACAACGTCTCCTGTCTTTGCTTCATGAACAACCTGCAGTCATTCAACAAGAAGTCCATTAGTCATAGACAAAGCACCAAGTTTATGTTTTAGAAGACACGTTGAACAAAGATTATCCTTAAACTTGCCGGTGTTGCTCCATTCCTATGCATAATAAGTTCCTGTTAGCAAGTTGCAGGAATCAGAAGCTAGTTTTCCAAATAAAAAACCGAAGAGTAAAAGAAAGGCAATAGGTGCCTTGTGATTCAAGCGCAAAGAGTGAGTCGCGTGAATGCTGTGTTTCTGATTCTTACCACAGAGCCAGTAGCCACGATATACATGTCAGTGGGTGCTTCATTCTGCAAGATTACATCTTCTTTTGGAGGAAAATATTCAGCCTTCATCTCGGAGACCTTAAAATTCAACCACGAAAATAGAAGTTAAACAAAATTGGCTTCTTACATATAAGATTGCAGAAGAAACTAGAATGACATTGCGGTGTATCAAACACCGCCAATTAGTACAAAATAGTGTTATCTTAATAATTACCAATTGGAAAAGGAGGTCTCTTGATACACCCTGGAACAAGTAGACACTATCAACGAGTGGATAGAAGAGATAGTGAGAGATGCTACATCGAATGGCTTTAGGGAGCGCATCGAGAGCCTCTTGCTGCTGCAGCCCTTCTGAATTCGTTCTGTACTTCAAACACAAATGAGCAAGCATCTGCTCGTGCAGGTGATCAGGTATTTGGTTCCTATGTGCAAAACTTGTCGCAGCTTGAATACTATCTCTCTACAGTCCAAAAAACAAGCCCAAAAAAACAGGAAACCAAAACATGAAAACCACTATTACTTGCACACTTGTCAGAACAACGAAGTTAATAGCTACAATTCTTAAGTTAAAATTTACATAATTTAGTAGTAAGAATTATAATATTAGTGTGAAAACAAAGAATTGAACTTACAAATTGTCTAGTTCGAGCAGTTCCATGGACAATCAAGTTGGTCATGTTTCCGATCAGGTAAGCTTGCAACCCAACATTGAAGAGCATATAGAAGATATTGAATGTCATCTCCTGTGAATTTACAGGATGAAAATCACCATAGCCGGTGGTTGTTAGGGTGATTATGGACCAGTACATTGAGGTCACGTACCGGTCCCATAAACTCAATTGTTGAAAGTTTTCTACGATAAGCCCAAACCATGTCCTTCTTGGGTTAGGATAATGCACAGCAAGGAAATAGAAGAAGCAGCCGGCGCAATGAACTGTGAGGAGAGTAACCTATAAGCACATCAAAAGCCTGATGATCATGATTATACACATCAGTTATATTAGACATTCAGCTCTCTCTATTAAAAAAAAATGACCAGATATTAGTCGAAAAGTACTCACGAAAATAAGTTTGCAGTATCGAACCCAAAAGTAGCTATAGTTCCTGTCCTTCTCCAATCTAGAATATCAGAGAAAATGTAAAATAACATGAGAGCTTAATGATCAGATCCTGTAATGAACATGAAAAATATAATCTGCATTGCCTTTGGATTAAGCTGACTTCGAACATGCATAAACCAATGATGAATTCAGTTCAGAATTCATAAATAAATGCATATATATAATAAGACTGCTGTGAAGGGAACTTCCATTTATGTAATTTGTACCTGGAAATCATTGCACTGAATCTTCGGAGACGCCAAAAGCGGAGGATATTGAAGTATCCATAAGTCTCCAGAGGAGGAGGCAGAACACGCTGAGCAAGTTCCCAAGGGATTGTGGAGATGATGTCAAAGGCCAGCCAGGTTTTGGCATATCTCAGAGCAATGATCTTGTGGTTGTCAATGAGGAGATAAGTAGTTTTATCAAGGTAGGCTATAAAGAATGTCAATACAATGTCGATAGCGAAAAGTGCATTGACAACGTTATCAGCTATGGCAAGAGGTCCTTTTGCTCTGTCCAAGAATCCAAATTCAAAGGGACACACCCAAGCAGTGTAGAAAACCAGCAATATAAGAAATGACTGCCAAAGTCTGCAAATTAATTAAAAACCAAGACCAAATGTTATACTTGAATTATGTTTTTTTTTGTTTTTTTGGTAGGACGATATTCTAAATTGAGAAGGGATCAAACTCAAGTGCAAAGTATATAGCTTGATCAACTGACGTAACTCACATTACGCAATTATTAATTAAACCAATAATGGAGCTACAATTAGAAAATTAAAGTCCCCAAAATAAAACAAAACAAAAAATACCCATGAACGATTGAAACATCATTAAAAGAAGAACCAAACTGGGCAATAAATTGTTTGTGATCTTATGCCGCCATACATGTGCACAAACACCACCAAAGATATTCAAATACATTCTAAATTTAAAACTTGCCACATGCAATTCATATCGAATCAAAATAAATCACCCCAATTGAGAACACGCACTGACATGCAAAACCAACCAGAAAAAATCGACAAATTTCTCGAGAGATTGATTATCACTTGTAATAATAATTAAATGGGGAGATGATAAAGCGGTGGAGCTTGTGTTTGGGACGGTTTCGAGCAGTGGCACCAAGAGACGGCAAAATGCCATTACTGAGGCTAAACTGGCTGGCATGGCTGCTGTCTTCCCTCGACATTTGTTCCGCCTTCTCCTGTTCTACTCCGCCATACCCCTGCCCGCATATTAACATCGACATTGACATTGATCCCTTCCTCATCATTACCACTCCGATCAGCAGGCATCATCTTCCATGTTTCTCTCTCTAGAAACTCACTTTTCCTCT